CGGAAGGCCCGCCCGTCGGGTCTCAGGACTTGGGGGGCTGCGCTCTCTGGTCCCAGGACCTCCACGGAAGGAAATGCGAGTCTCGGCCGAGGCTCGGCTTGGACGGAACTGTCCGGAGGCTCCGCTCTCTTCCCTGGGGACCCGGGACGTCGCGACCAGCGCCCCGACCTGGGAGCCCCCGCGGTGGTTTGAAAGCCAGGTTCGCAGTAGGGATCCACCGACAGGAGTAAGCTGGAGCCGGCCACCCCTCTGCGCTGAGGCCCCAGCCTGGAGTCGTCCTGCGGGACCTTCGGTGGGGGCGGTGCCTGTGGGTTAACCTGCTAACCTGCTAACGGCCGCTGCTCCAGCTCCAGCCGAGCGCCGCCCCGAACCCCTGCGTGGAGCTGCCAGAGGCCGGTGACCATGTGAACTGGCAGGTGGGTGACGCTTGTCACCCTAGTGAGCGGACAGCAGGGACAGGAGCCCTGCCTCTGCCCGCACCAGGCCTCCCCTCCCACACTCCTGTCCAGGTGGGTGTCCCTGACCCAGCTCTAGACAGATGGGGGTCTCCCCAACTCTAGGGAGTCCCTCAAAGGTGTCCTCAGCCTCTGGAGCCCTACCTGTAACCTCCAACTGGGCTCTGGACCTCTGGGACCTCACGGCCAGCCAGGGTCTCCCGCCGGCAGTGGTCAGCCTGACACCCCAGGCGCTCCTGGCCCACCTGGGGAGGACCGAGGTGGCAGAGCTGCCCTGGCCATCCCATCTCCTCCCCTCGGAGGTCAGTGGTGGCCCCTCCAGGATGGGCATCTGTCCCTGAGCTCCCCTCACAGTCTGTTCTGCAGCCAGAGCTGCCCCCAGTGAACCCCCACCCGCCTGAGGACCCCATCCTGGGAGGACTCTTCCCCCTAGCCAGTCACCCATGGCCGTGTCCGCCCTCCTCACCTAGCCCTGAGCCCTAACTCAGCAAACGAGAGCTGCTGCTGCTGTAAGGGTTCTGAGGGGCAGGGCCGGTTTGTTTGGAAAGGGCGGTGCTGTCTGAAGGTTGAGGGGGGAGAGGCTGGCACCTGGAAATGGGGAGGTGATGCAAAGCAGAGGGAGGAAGATGGCCCCAGCCCTGCCACCCACAGCAGCCCCTCGCTCTCTGGGCACATCCTGGACCTCTGCCGTCTCTTTGACCCCACCCCCTTTTTTTCTCTCTTGTTCATCAGCTAATTTTTAAAAAATTAAACTTGATTTCAAGGTAATCGTAAACGGTACGCAGTTGTGAGACACCACACAGCGACCCCATGGACGCTTTGCCCATTTTTAAGAACTGCCGAGCAAGATCACACCAGGGTAGTGGCACTGACAGTCAACAGGCAGGACGAGGACGGCCCTGTCCCCACAGGGCCGCCACTCGCTTTTTGTAGCCACACCCACTCCCTCACCAACCCTGTGGCTCCTCCGCCTCCGGCCACTGCTACTCTGGTCCATCTCTGTAATTGTGTCCTTTGGAGAGCTTCGTATAAACAGCATCATGCAGGGTGGAGCCTTGGGGACCAGCCTCTCTGCTCAGTGTAGTTCCCGAGGGCTGGCCGTGTGCACCCTTAGTGGGTCCTTCCTACCTGAGCGATGTTCCCAGGCACAGGCCAGCCTGTTTCTGTCTCGCCCGTTGTCTGCAGCCACTGGGTTCTGCTGCCCTTGGCAGACCTGGCGCCCTGAGGCTGGTGAGCCTGCTGGTCAAGAGGTCGCAGCCCTGGGGCGGGGGTGCATCTGGACCAGAGACCCCCATTGTGTGCCCTCCACAGAACACATGTGAACCCATGGCATGGTGACGCTGGGCTGTCAGCCTCAGCCCGAATGCCAAGGGCGGCCCCTCCTCAGCCCACAGACCTGGTCTGAGTACCATGACACCGCTGTGAGCTCAGCACTCTCACAGACGGGGACGTTGAGGCACAGACAGCTCAGCTCCTTGTCATGTGGCTAGTGAGTCTGAGAGCAGGGCTTGAATCCAGTCACCTGACCACATCCAGAGCTGTCCGGGCCCACCCCCCTCACAGAGCTGCACACCCCCACCCCCACCTAGCCCTGGGTTTGGTGAGGTCTCATGGAGGAGGTGAGGCTAAGGGGGCCAGGCCAGAGGACCGAGGAGGACCCCCCCCCCCCCTGCTTTGACCACCAGAGGACCGTGCTGAGTCCCAGAGGCCGGACCTGCTGGCTCTGAGGGAGGAATGTGTCCAGTGCTCTGAGTGCTGACTTCAGAGGGGCCAGCATAAGCGGGACCCTCCCAAGGCCTGAGGAGGCCTCTCTGGCCTGTATGTCAGAAGTTCCTAGGAGGAGAAGCCAGGTACCTCTGGGATTTAAGGAAAGCCGTCTATAAAAACCCAAAATGCACACACAGGGGAGCAGGTGGTGGGTGGGCGCTGCAGGCCCTTCCAGGCCTCCCCTAATTCTGTGTTTGTAAATATTTGTTCTCAACCCCCACAACAGGAGGCGCCTTAGTTGCATGGTGCCTGCGCCTTGGGCCCCCTGCCTCCTCCAGCCCATGGTGAGGGTCGGTGCCAAATCACAGTTTGCAAATGGTCCAAGCTGTTACCCCAGTTGTGGCAGGGAGCCCCCAGGGTGCGTCCCAGAGACCAGGGTCTGCTGTCTCTCAGGGGCAGGTGGATGGACACTTGTAGCGTTTGTTGGGCCCGTTCACTGAATGTGACGTTTTGGCGTTGATTGAGTATGGGGTGTGGCAGGAGGGTCTGCAGCCATCAGAAGAAGGATGTGACGCAATGATAACCCAGGGAGCTGAAGGGGCTGGGCTGCGGGGAGAAGGAGCAAGCTACCCGGGCTGAGATACCACCCACAGACCCGGGACCCGCCCTGGAACCCTGCCCCAGAACCGGAGCCAGGCTGCCTAGGTTTACTCTCCCGCTCTCCTGAGGCACAGGCTGACCTGGGCAGTGGGCACTTCACTTCAGTGTGCAGGGGGCCTGGTGCTGTCCAGAGGGAGGAGGAAGGGGTGGGTGCGGGACCTGCGTGGGACTCACGTGCCACCCCTTCCATCACCCCGTCCATGTCTCTAAGCGGGCTCGGAGGTCAGGGCAGCCTCCCCCCCAGGGTGGCCCAGAAGTTACGCCACCTTCTCACTCCCCGCTATGTGCTTACTGAGCCCCACCCCATAAGAAACTCCAGCTCTGTCCTGCACGAGGTTGTACATGTTATGATGTTAAAGATTTGGCCAACATTTGAACAACCAGGCAATTCTCCACACAAATCCAGTGCACTGCTAGGCAGCTAATGGCTGGTGCTGCCCAGCGGCTGCCCCCTTCATGAAACCCCGCTTCTCTGAGGGCAGGACTCAGGTCAAGGGCTACCCTCCTCCCCTTGTCACACTGGCCGCCTGGCAGGGCAGCCACCCCCTCCTGCCTGGGCCTGAGGAAGGGGTGGAGGTGGGGGAGAGAGGGGGCTGCCCCGCCTTCCCCGCTGCCCAAGACCCCCCCCCCAGACTGCCCCAGGGCTGCTCCTGTCCCAGCCCCAAGTGACTGAGCAGCCCAGAACAAGTCCTGCCCACAAGGCTCCCTAGAGGTCAAGGAGAGGGACGGATGATGTGTGGCCGGGGGGCTGGAGGGCCACCCTGCATCCCAACCCATTCTCAAAATAGCCCGGAAGTGGGCAGGGGGCCCTCTGGAGTGACCTGTCACGCACACCCCTTGCCAGCAGGGATGGACTCAGCGAAGCCCTGACACTCGCCGTCCCACCGGCCTTTCCAGTTTCTTCCTCTCAGAAGTCCCCTCCCCTGCAGGGCTCTGGGCTCAGTGTGGTGACCGGGCTCTGGACGCCCTGGGAGCATGGAGCACTTCCTCAGGAAGCGGCTGGCCTTCCTATCCTTTTTCTGGGACAAGATCTGGCCGGCAGGCACGCCAGACGACAGCACCCTGGGCTTCCCAGACTCCGACACCAACGCTGAGCTGGATTCCCCCGCCTCCGAGCCCTGCTGCTCCCCGGCGGTGCCTGGGCAGTTCTTCAGGGCGCTGTATGACTTCACCGCGCGATGCACGGATGAGCTGAGTGTCAGCCGCGGGGACAGGCTCTACGCCCTCAAGGAAGAGGGCGACTACATCTTTGCCCGCAGGCTCTCTGGCCAGCCCAGCATGGGGCTCGTGCCCATCGCATACGTGGCCAGGGCCACCCCTGACACGCTCTCAGACCAACTGTGAGTACCACCTGCTCTGGGAGACAGGAACCAGCACAGGATTCAGCCTGGGCACCGCCGCTCAGCCATCGGCTCACTCATGTCCAGCACGAGCACACAGCATGCTGCACGGACAGCAGTGACTGTGTGCCCTGGTCAGCTCCAGTGGCAGGTCAGCTGGACAGCATGTGTGCATGCCCTGGCAGGCAGCCAGGCAGCATGGAGGTCACGCTGGGACCCTGGCCAGGCCCTCTTTCTCCCACACAGGGACTCAGCCCAGGCGTTAAGCACTCTCAGGGGCTCTCAGTCCACAACAATGGCTGAGTGGTCACTGCTTGGAGGGCAGGGGTTTAGGGCCTGGAGTGCAGGGCTGAGAGGTGAATACGGCGCCTGTCCTGGATCTCCCAGTGAGAATACGAGTGTGCAGAGAGGCCATCATATGCTTCCTTGTGCTGTGAGGGGGTGAGGGGTGACTGGGGGTGAGGAGGTGACAAACTGGGTTAGAGAGGTGTGCCCACCTGCCGCTTTCACCCATCCACATTCACCCAGCCCCCCCTCCCCTGCACTGGGCCAGGTATGGGGCAGACATGACCTTGGCCTTTGGAATTGCTCCCAAAGAGGCTTGTTTGGGGAGTAGACGCAGGTGGGAGGGGGAGCCCCCTATCCCCCTCAGAGCGCCTGAGTCCCCGAGGGCTGGGGCAGTCCACGGGCGTGAAGTGGCTGGTATGGACACCTGGCTGTTAGCACTCCGGTCTGTGATCACAGAGCGAAGACGACAGCAGGTGAGGGCTCTTCAGGAGGGCTCCTCAGAGGTGACCTCTTGGCTCAAGACCCAAGTCCATAAGACAGGGCAGCCTCCTAGCACAGCTGTGTGCCAGCTCTGAGCACGGCCCTGCCCTATGGCGGTAGGCATGGTCCATGGGCCTCGAGCTCACCCAAACCCTGGCCCTGACCTCTGCCTGTCTTTCCCCTGAATGCAGTGGGTCAGCCCGGCTGTTGTGGCCATTGCGGTCCTGGATGGGGCATTGGCTAGGGGGCCTTCAGGGGCAGACGCCGTCCCCTAGTCCCAGCATGCACGGAGGCAGTATGCTGGGTGAAAACAGCAGGAAGCTGCTTGGTAAACAGGGCCAGCCAAGGCAGGCTTACCCGCCCAGCCAGGCTGCTCTGCCCTGTTGCCCAGGCCCTGATGGCAGCCCCTGGTCCTGCACCCAGCTGGACCAGGCCTGAGCTCTGGACATGTCCTCTGCAGATCAGCTCTGGGTCTCAGCCCCACTCAGCATCACCAGCCTCCTGGGTCCTGCCTGGGGCTCCCAGGCTCCTGGGGGATTTGCAGATGCTGAGTTGAGCCTGAGTCACAAGAAGGTGCCCTCTTAGAAGACGCCAGGCCCCCACCCCATGCCTGGGACCAAGCTGCCATGCTGACAGGGAGGGGGTCCACAGTCACCCGAGGTGTAGACAAACCCAGGAGCATCTTTTGTGGGAGGCTGGCAGGGCTAGGGGCATGGGAGGGGCTGCTAGGAGGAAGAGCTAATGACTATTTGCCTGGGCTCGAGATGAAAGGGCTGACCACACTCACAGGGTCATTAGCTCCAGACACCTGGCTGGCTGTCCCTGGGCCAGACCGGATGGGTGGGTGAGGCTCCTCACAGTGGGGCCTCATTGCTAACAAGCTGCTGAGGGTCCTATAGTTTTGTCTCACCACTGACCCACGCTTCATGGAGGGACCCCAAGAACATCCCTGCAGTCCAGGGCGTGCACAGGGCCTCAGCCCCACCCCCAGGCCCTGGGGCTCCAGGGAAGGGCTGGGGGTGGGGGAGCCTCTGCTTCTCCTCATCCCCCACAGCCCTGCTGTCCTGGGAGGGTCCGCTGGAACCCCTCACACCTGAGAGGCTCTCCTGGCTGGCAGTGCAGCCCCCAGAAAACAGCCTGGCTGCAGAGGCCCTGCTCGCCAGTCAACATATCCCTGAGCCTGCAGGGACCCATGCAAGGCCCCGATGTCCCTGAGCCTTCACTGCGGGCTCTGGCTGCTGATTTGATTGATGTTTCTCCTGATGTTTCTCACACCTGTACCTCTCCACACCCCCAGCACCCCACCGCTTCTGCTTCTGCCTGGGGCTTCTCCCTCTCTCCAGCCCCAGCCCAGCCCCGGGGCTCTGGCCATGTAGGCTCTTAGCCCCTCCCCATAGCTTCGCACGGTGGTGGCGGTCTTCTGTTCCGGTACAGTCTCTCTCCGCCCTCTTCCTGTCAGGCCCTGCCCTCGCCCAGGCCCTCGTAGCATCCGCCTGCCTGGGACTGCACAGCTCTGCCCATCTGGTCCTCTCTTTTGGGGCACCCCCATCTTGTGTTGACTCACTCTGAGTCTTTCTGTGGGCACCCCAGGCTCTCTGAGAACCTGTGATCTCCCCTCAGGGTCAATGAGGGGCTGTACTCACATCTGTGGTTCCCCTTTAGGGGCAGGCCTCCTCCACTGGGTCCCCAGAACCCCCAGGAAGTGGGAGGCTCCACGGTGGGAAGCTGACTTAGGTCTGAGGTTTCCCCATCAGGACCTTGGGGAACAGACACAGGCGATGGGGTAGGGCCGGGAGCCACAGCTGGCCTAACTCAGGTGAACTGCTGGCCCAGATGGGGGCTCAGATGGGGGAGCCCCAGGAGGGCCCTAGCCCACCCCATGCTCAGGTGTGAGGGCTCCTGGTATCTTGGAATTTTGTGCAGACCGAGGAGTGGGTGCCAGGGAGCTCCTACCAGCCTGGCCCTCGGCGTGGCCTCAGTGTGCTTGGCTTCCTGGAGGGCATATCTCCGCACGTGCGGGGGGCCCTGGGCTGGTGCTGCGCAGGCCCCTCAGGGGTGGACTCTCGATGCTTCGAGCCTCTGCAGCTGTCTCCCAGCCTGATTTCCTGCCCAGCCTGGCCTGGCACCTCCTCCAGGGCCTTCCAGCTGCCCCAGGAGTCAGGCCCGCTCCCCCGATCCCCACACGTGGGCCATGCCCAGCCAGGTGGCCTCCATGCTCCTCCAGGCCACACCTGCAGCTCAACCCATACACCTGGGCATCATCAGGGCCCCTGGTTCCCAGTGGACCCCCCCCCCCATAGGGGCTCAGCAGTATGGAGTGTGACGGGTTCAGCCTGTGGCCAGGGCTGGCTGTCACTTTATGAGCAGGACTAATGGAAATCCTGTGGCTGAGTTGAGTGGGCATTCTTATCTGACACAGGTTACTGCTGGAGGCTGTGTCAGCTCCATGGTGGCCCAAGCAGTCCCCCTGTCCAGTCCCCAACAGCTCTGGAGGCTGAGCACTGGGACCAGAGCAGGCACAGAGCCCAGGCCAGGACCTCACATTGGGCACCACGGGCACCTCCTCCCTGAGAAATGGGGGGATAGTCGGGGCTCAGCCTGCACAGAGTGGGGTATGGGCACAGGGTCACTCAGGGCTGGGCCTGCCTGGTGACCGCCATGCCCGCCCTTTGCAGCTGGTACTTCAGTGGCATCAGCCGAACCCAGGCCCAGCAGCTGCTCCTGTCCCCAGCCAACGCCCCAGGGGCCTTCCTCATTCGGCCCAGTGAGAGCAGCCAGGGGGACTACTCGCTCTCAGGTACTAGGGCAGCCCCTCACGCCCCTGCCCCACTGAGGCATGCTGTCCAGCCCCCACCAGGCTAGAACACTCTTCACCTTGGGTGGTTGCTCCCCAGGCAGCGCCAGTTCCTTACCCATGCGCAGCCCCACCTCAGGCCTGACAGCGCCTATTGGTGGTCACCTCATGTGTTTGCTCACTGCTTCATTCACTCACTCATTCACTTATTCACTTACCTATTCACTTACCCATCCACTCATCTATCCAGTCATCCATCCACTTGTCCACGCATTCATCTGTCCACTCATCCATTCATCCATCTATTCATCCATTCATCCATCCACTCATCCACTCATCCATTCACTCATCTATTCACTCATCCACTCATCCATCCACTCACCAATCCAATCATTCATCCACTCATCCATTCACTTATCCATCAACTCATCCATTCACTTATCCACTCACCAATCCACTCATCCGTCCACTCGTTCGTTCACATGCTCACATACTCATCCATCTACTCACTTATTCAGTCACTACTCATTCGTCATTCACTCACCGAGTGCCCACTCTGCCCTACTGGCAGGAGCCCCGTTCCCGGTTCCTCACCGCTCCGCTGGCCTGCAGCTGCCCACACCCCCACCTTCAATAGGCAGCTCCTGCCGTCTCAGGGCCTGCAGGCCCCGAGGAGGGTCGTGGTGATTACCAGGTTGGGGTGGTGGAGGGTCTGGGGCACGGCCTCCATCTCTGCCCCCTCCCAGTCAGGGCCCAGGCCAAAGTCCGCCACTACCGCATCTCCACGGCGGCCGATGGCAGACTCTACCTGCAGAAGGGCCGCCTCTTCCCCAACCTGGAGGAGCTGCTCACCTACTACCAGGCCAACTGGAAGCTGATCCGAAACCCGCTGCTGCAGCCCTGTGTGCGCCCGGTGAGCCCGTCCCGCCCCCACGCCTGCCTGGCTGCCCCTCGCTGGGCCAGCCCGGCAAGGCCTGGGGGCCCACATCTGCCACACTCGCCACGCTCTGCTTGGGGCCCTGCCCCAGGTCGGGTCTGCTGTCACAGGTGTCCCAGCTCCGCCTCTGGGGAGTCCTGGGTGGGGGGTGCCCAGCTCTGCAGCGCAGCGGTGAGGAGGGCAGAGGCGAGTTTGGGGAGGTGTCTGGGGAAGGCCCAGGGTGGAAGTGTGGGAGGCGGTCCACACACAGAATGGAGCCCTACCTAGCTCTCCATCACCGTCCCAGACCAGCGGTCCTGCCAAGGGACCAGGGCAGGAGCCGGGGCAGCAACCCAGTTCCTCTGGCCTGGTAATGACAGCTCGACTGGGGCAGTAGTGAGTATTTGTGGGCGGATGTTCGCCTCCAGCAAAGGTGTCACTTATATCTGGAAGCAATTGGGCCAGGCCCGGGGAGTGGAGGGGTCAGCACCTGGCTTCCTCGCCCCAGCCAGGACCGGTGTTGAGTGTGAGCTGGGGCAGAGGTGCAGAGGCCTGGTCCCCTGAGAAACTGCCCACTCTGCCCGGGACACAGGCAGAGGCACTGAGTGCCCCCACCCCCACAGCAGCCCCCCGAGTGGGACGAGTGGGAGCGGCCACGCTCCGAGTTCACTCTGCGGAGGAAGCTGGGTGAAGGCTACTTCGGGGAGGTGTGGGAAGGCCTGTGGCTCGGCTCCGTGCCCGTGGCTGTCAAGGTCATCAAATCAGGTGGGTGAGGCCCTGCCCTCCTGATCCCTGGGCGGGGCGCTCGTGGGGGTGGGTAGGTGTGGGTGGGTCCTGAGCGGAACCCTCTGCCCCAGCCGACATGAAGCTTGCGGACCTGGCCAAGGAGATCCAGACACTCAAGAGCCTGCGGCACGAGCGCCTCATCCGGCTGCATGCCGTGTGCTCTGCTGGGGAGCCGGTGTATATCGTCACGGAGCTGATGTGCAAGGGCAACCTGCAGGCCTTCCTGGGCAGTGAGTGCTGTCCTGCTGGCTGCCTGCCCAGGGGACAATGACACCTGCCCCTTCTCAGCGTGGCCCAGGGGGCGATAGTGGGCTCTGCCCAACAGTGGGCTTGGGCCCCTGGTCTGAGCCAGGCCTGAGCTTTGTGGAGGGGCACTCAGAGGTGGGGTACCAGGCTGGGGGGAGTGCAAGCAGGGGCCCCAGCCTCTAAGCAGGGGCAGTGTGGACCCGGCCTGGCCTGGGAGCCCCTCCCTCGCTTGGCCCTCCTCTGTCCTTGGCCTGTGTTGGGGGCCCAGGCCAGTGGCCTGGGAGCAGCTTGCCCCAAACAATCTCTGGGGCTGCGCAGTGCCCACCGCAGCCTTGGCGGACAGCGCTGTTCTCACCCAGTCTCAGAGATGAGGAAACAGGCACAGAGGGAAGTGACAGGGAAGATGCTGGCCCCCTGACTGTCGGCCCGCCCCGCAGGCCCCGAGGGCAGGGCCCTGAGCCCGCCTGTCCTGCTGGACTTCGCCTGTCAGGTGGCTGACGGCATGAGCTACCTGGAAGAGAGGCACATCGTGCACCGGGACCTGGCCGCCAGGAACGTGCTCGTAGGCGACGGCCTGGCCTGCAAGGTGGCTGACTTTGGCTTGGCCCGGCTGCTCAAGGTCAGTTTGGGCTCGGGCTTGCTGACCCTGCGCAGGGAGATGGAGCAGCCAGCAGGGGAGGGCACCGTTCCGCCCACCCACCACCGGTGTCCCCTCACCAGGACAACATCTACTCCCCGAGCAGCGGTTCCAAGATCCCTGTCAAGTGGACAGCACCTGAGGCAGCGAACTACCGAATCTACTCCCAGAAGTCGGATGTCTGGTCCTTTGGCGTGCTGCTGTACGAGGTGTTCACCTACGGCCAGTGTCCCTACGAAGGTGAGCCACACGCAGCCCAGGGGAGGGGGGCAGGCCTCCACCAGGAAGGTGTAGTCTGAGGGAGAAGGCGTGGGAGCCAGCCCGAGGGAGGAGGCATTCCCTGCTCTGGGGGTTGCTCAGCCTGCAAGGGGCACCAGGCCACAAGGTTGTCACTTGGCAGGGTCTAGTGAGGGCTGGGGCGGTCTCCACAGTGACTCCTAGGCAGGACCGAGGCAGCCTCTGCCAGCCCCTCTCACTGGTGCCCTCCCCAGGAATGAGCAACCATGAGACACTGCAGCAGATCGCAAAGGGGTACCGGCTGCCACGCCCGGCTGCCTGCCCCGCCGAGGCCTACGTGCTCATGTTGGCGTGCTGGAAGGGCAGCCCCGAGGAGCGGCCGGCCTTCGCCACGCTGCAGGAGAAGCTGGGCACCATCTACAGGCGTCTCCATCCCACTCTCACGTGACCAGGGGCACTGGGCACCAGGGCTAGGCCTCTCCTCCCTGTTGGGCCTCCCCTCAGGATAACGTTTGCCGTCAACACACACAGGGGTGTCGGACTGTCCAGAACTGCCGCCAGCCCACAGAGCTCCTGGCCATGGGCCTCACGCACTGACACGCACATGTACGTGTACACGAGGCAGACACACACTTGGAGAGAGAGGAGCTGACGTCCTTTGCCTGGAGTGGCAGTGTCCCTGGAGGGTGGGGGTCGGCAGAGAAGGCTGGGTGGAGCCTGTGTTCGCTCCAGCCTCAGAAAGACTGTGGACGGAGAAGCCCTGGGCCTGGGCAGAGATCGCTCCTGCCTGGGACTGCCGGCTGCCCTGAACCCCTGCAACTCCCTCCCAAGGTCAAAAGTGACAGGAGTGCGTCCCAATTTTCTCCCAAGTCCCCCTGGGGCCACATTGGTGCTGCGGCTCCCAGGCACTGGCCCCACGTGGCACATGCTGGGCGCAGCCGCTGTCTCCCAGGGGCGCACCACTGCCTGTGTGCGACCCTGTGCATACAGGGGGGCAGCACTCAATAAATACGATGAAGTGACTCAGACACATGCAGGAAGATGTGTCACACGCGGGCCAACCGCCCCCTTCCCTCCCGCCCCTGAACCAGAGCAGAGGCTGGAGCTGACTGGGTGGTCCACTCTCTCGTTTATCATGGCAGAGCCGGGGCTGGGTCAGACCACAGCAAGGTCAGGTCGGCGTCTGAGTGGCTGTTTTGGGGGGTGGGTGACCCTCGTGGTTGGTTTTCTGGGGGTGGGGCAAAGGTCAGGGAGGCACCGCGTCTGTGCCTCAGCGGTGCCGGCCTGGCTGTGCAGTCAGGCTGGGGTGGAGGGTGGGTGCTGAGGGTGTGGGCAGCTGGGAGGCAAACAGCTCTCAGGGAAAAGGAAGCAGCGTGTTCAGAGAGTTCCTGCTCCCACCCGGGCTGATTTCAGGCCACAGCTGACGTCCCCAAGTGAGGAGCCGGGTGGGCCAGGCACCGTTAGTGTCCACCTGCCCGGCTGCCGTCACCAGGTTACCATGGGTGAACAAACGGAGGGGCAGGGGACTGTGTGGGTGGGGTCTGCCTTTGGGGTGCTCAACCTTCACCCCCCAGAAGGCTTGTGGGGACAAAAGAGCTGGAGGCATGCATGGTAACCCTCAGCTCAGTGACTCTGGAGGGAACGTGCACAGTTCAGGGCCAGCTTTAATCGCTGACCAGAGGCCCTGCCTGTGGAGCGGGGAGCTGGGACCCTTGAGTGCAGGGGCTGCTCAGAGAGCTGGGGCTGCGCAGGGCTGGGGCAGTGATGGTGGCGGGCTTCCCGATTGGGAGGGCGGTGGGGGGGGCGTCGCCAGTGGGGGCAGTACCGAGGCAGGAGGTCGGAACTGGCTGCTTCCGGGCCCAGATCCGTCTGGCTGTGGGTCAGGGCTGAGTGGGGGGAGGCGGGGAGCTCCTCAGATCTTCCGATGTCAGGCTGGTGGGGGCGGGAGGGTTTGGCATGAGCATTTTGGGACCCCGGGGAATAAATAATCCGTGACCCGCTCCATCCTGTCCTGGGGGAGCCCAGGGGCAAGCTCGGGCATGTGGGCCCCAGAGGGTTAGGGCTCAAGCTGAGCCCCTTCGGTCCTTGGGACCATGGGGCTCTGGTCACCCTGAAGGGCTCACCCTGTTTGCTTGGAGCTGTGGTGAACGTGGGCAGGCCGGGCAGGCAGGCAGCCAGCCTCGGAGAGGAATGTGCTGGGCGTGGCGACCGGCCAGAGAGGCAGGTGTGCGTGGGGGTCACCCTGGGTGTCTCCCCAGCCACACGCCGGGCAGGTTTGTGCACGGAGCCTCTGGGAGGGGCTGGGATGCCCAGTGTTGAAACTCTTGCTTCCTGGTGTGGCTCGGGCAAAACCCCAGGCACCGCTGCGCCCAGAGACATGTGAGGTCCCCTGAACATGGGCTCGGTGCCCAGCCGTCCCTCCCATCTGCTGCCCTCTCCCCAGTCGGCACAGCATGTCTGCGGCCTAGATGAACAGCACAGACTCCTGCCTCTCCTCTCAGTGAAAGGGAGAGTGCCAGCAGGTAGGGCTCAGTGGTCATTTGTCCTCTCAGTCCTCCTGTCTGGGCGCAGAGTCCCTGGCACGCCTCTCAGGCCCTGGGCTCCAGGCTGACCCCAATCCATGGTCCTCACCCCAGGCCCTTCCTGTCTGTTGGGAGGCCAGTGGTCAGGGGGGTGTGAGGTGGGCTCCGTGGTGAGAAGGACGTGCAGGGACCGGGAGGGAAGGGAGGCAGTGCCCACCTGGGCTTCCAGCAGTGACGCTGCTGACAGCCTGCTGTCCGTCCATCCTGGCTCAGGCCCAGTGGCTCAGGTCCTGGAGTACTGGGAAGAGGGTGACGTCCATGGGCCTTGGTCCCTCCCCTTGTCCTCTAGCCCACCTAAGGTGGACCCCAGGAGGGCCCTGTCTGACTGGTCCTTGTGCCCTTCCTCTCCCCGGGCTCAGGTCTTGCCACGTGGTCACTTGGTAGGTGGGCAAGAACAGTGCCCAGACTGACCGGCTGGCCCTGGTGGGTAGGAGGACAGGTGGGGGCTGCCAGGCCCTTGGGGTGGAGCCCAGGGTGCCAGAGGAGGCCGCCTCGTCACAGGGAAGTGGGCTGGCTCCCCAGCTGGGCGGGGGTGGCCTGTCAGGGCTGACCCCAACTGCCAGTGCTCACAGCCAGCCCGGTGACAGGCGGGGAGGCCAGGTGGCCTGGTCCTGCCACTGCAGCTGCCATGGTGTCCCGGGGCCAGGCTCAGCTGGGCCCTACGTACGTGGGCCTCTGGGACTTTGTGGCCCGGACCGATGAAGAGCTGAGCTTCCGGGCAGGGGACCTGTTCCATGTGGCCAGGAAGGAGGAAGAGTGGTGGTGGGCCACGCGGCTGGACGCGGCGGGCAGGGCCCTGGGCCAGGGCTATGTGCCCCACAACTACCTGGCCGAGAAGGAGACGGTGCAGTCTGAGCCGTGAGTGTCCTTGCGTCCTCTCCAAGGTGCCCCTGCTCCCTGCAACCCCTCAAATGCTCAGGGCAGGGCTGCTGCACCATTGGGCTGGGCTTGGGGGAGGGGAAGGGTGCTGCACTGGTCCAGGAGAGGGGGACACATGGCCCCATCTACCTGTGGCCTCGGTCGGGCTGCACCCCACCATCCTCGTCCCGGAAGTGCTGCAGGGCCTTTGGCTGGGTGTCAGCACCTGGGGATGCTGAGCAGCAGAGGTGTGTGGCCCTTCCCCCGCAGTCACCTCGTGGTGCCAGGACTCAGAGCGTGCAGAAGGGGCCTCGGGGGGCTTCTGGGCCGCTGGTCAACCGTGACAGGGTCTTCACAGGAGTCCGAGGCGGGACTGGGCCTGTGGGAGCCGAGATGCACTCGCCTTCCCAACAACCAAAACCAGATGTGTGACCTAGTTAGAGCAGGCAGGAAGGTCATTGCAACATGCCCCTCTGGGGTGTGGCTGCAGCGTCTGTTCCTTGCACCCTTGCGGCTGCCCTGTCACTGGCAAGGTGGCTCCAGGAGGCAGTGGCCGCCCTGAGGGGCTGCCCAGGATGCTTGAACAAGGGGCAGCCTGCCGTGGGCGTGCCCACTGTAGCCGAGGTGGCTCCTCTGAGGTCTGGATGGGAAGGGTCCCCATAGCCAGCCTGCGCTCCTGGAGCCCAGTGTCTCTCACATTTATCATTGAGCACCTGCTGCGTGCCAGGTTCCTGCCTTCTGAAGGGAAACAAACAGTCAGCACGTTCAGCCAGAAACAGGACAGCTTCGGGACGGGGGTCCCATGACGGCATAGTGCAGGGTGGGCACGGCTGCAGGCGGGGCGCTGAGGCCCGAGAACCAGCAACTTTCGAGACGTGGGAAGGTGGAGGGTGGTGGCAGTTGCCTGCACACCCCTTGCAGGTCTCTAGGGCCTTTCCTGGTACCCAGAACCAGCCACTTGGGACATTTGGGGTGTACGATGGGCAAAGAAGGGGGCCCTGACGGTATCAGGGTGGCTGTGGGGCAGGGCTGGGGTCATAAGGCAGAGGGTCAGGTGAGAGGGCTGGGATTCCGAGTGGGGTCAGCGTGGACTCTGGATTCCCTCCAGGTGGTTCTTCGGACGCATCTCCCGCTCGGAAGCCTTGTACTGGCTGCAGGCCAACGGCAATGAGCAGGGGGCCTTCCTGGTGAGGGTCAGCGAGAAGCTGGGCGCTGACTACGTGCTCTCCGGTACAGTCTCCAGGGTCTGCGGGCTCGCCCTGCGTGGCTTTGGGTCTCCTGGCCCCCGAACCCTTCCGTCCTGCATGCAGAGAGCCGGGCCCTTCTAGCCTGTCCCTCCTGTCGGCTGCTACGTCCAGGACATCCCCACCCCCATCCAGGGATCTCTGAGGCCCAGCCCACCTGGGGGGCTTGTTCCTGAGGTCCTGGCCTGGGTTTACTCCTTCCAATGTTGGGAACGCCACAGGGCAGGGCGCCAGGCATGTGCCTGCGAGCTCCTCTCTGAGAGGTGGGGGCTCTGGGGGGGAAAATGCCTGTTCACGCGTGTCCCCTCTGCCTGTGCTCTGCGCTCCAGTGCGGGACCGGCAGACCGTACGGCATTACAAGATCTGGCAGTGGGCCGGCCGGCTGCACCTGCATGAGGCCGTGTCCTTCTCCAGCCTGCCCGAGCTCGTGGACTACCACAGGACCCAGAGCCTGTCCCACGGCCTGAGGCTGGCCTTGCCCTGCAGGAAGGTAGGGTTGTCCGACTCCCCCTGCCCGCCCCCACCCCGCCAGACCCTGCCTCACCCCTGCCTACCTACAGCCCTCTCTTTTCAATGACACAGGCCCCCAGGGCCACACAGGGTGAGCGTGGGTCCTGACACACTGACCGGCTGGCGGGGACTCAGGGGGCCTCTGGCTGCCTGGAAGCTGGTCATGGGATCAAGAGGGCGGGGCAGGGGACAGCCCCCCTTTGCCTGGTCACTCTTACCCCTGGGCTAGCAGAGGTCAGAGGTGCTCTTGCCATGTTCTGAGTCTCTCTGGGCCCCTGGGAGCCAGGAGACAAGAGGCATGTGCCCCAGCCAGCAGCTGGACAATTTTGTCTGAGTGGCACTTGGGCTATTGCCACTGGCCCAGAGCTGGTGGTGAGGGTGGTGTTTGCAGGACACAGCAGAGGGCAGCCCTGGCAGAGCCGGGCCACATGTCAGACACTGGGGACCCTCCCAAGCTGACCACACCCCTACATTTGAGGATTGACGAGGGGCCAATCTGGGGTCAGAGGGAATTCCCGGAGGATGGATGGGTAATGAGCACACACCCTGGCCTGTGTTCGTCCAGCACCAGCCAGAGCCCCTGCCCCACTGTGCCAACTGGGAAAGACCCCGGGAGGAGTTCACGCTGTGCCGGAAGCTGGGGTCCGGCTACTTCGGGGAGGTCTTCGAGGGGCTCTGGAGAGACCAGGTCCGGGTGGCCATTAAGGTGATTGCCCGAGGTGAGTGGCCCCTGGCCAGGGCTCTGCCTGACCACCCCGCCCCTGCAGCCCCACCAACAGGGACTTCTGGCCTCGCTCACTGGGGTGGGGGCCAAGCCAGCCTGGGGCTCTGATGGCCACTGTGCTACACGTTGCCCTAACTTGTGCCACATGTGGCACTCACAGCCATATGGAGGTGACATTTTCCCTCAATTGTAAAAGTTTTCACCTAAATGCATTTATTGTGAAAGGGAATGTTGCATCTCAATGGGGCTGGAGAGCCACTAAAATCACTAGAGCTCTGACAAGGTTCTTGTACAATCTCCTTGGGAAGCACCAGGGGGTTAGGACCCCACACTTCAGGAATCAGGGGCCCAGTGCATGGTGGGAGCAGAGGGTGGGCACGCGGACCCCGCATGGAGACACCAGGGAAGGTGCTGAGGCCGTGGACCGGGCTGCGTCTGCCCCGGCACCCTGGTCTGGAGAGCGGCAGTAGGGGCTGTCCTTCCTTCTCTGTCTCCTTGGGGACACTCCCACCGAGGCTGCCTGCCCCGCAGATGACCTCCTGCACCAGCACACGTTCCAGGCGGAGGTCCAGGCCATGAAAAAACTCCGGCACAAGCACATCCTGGCGCTGTATGCTGTGGCGTCTGTGGGGGACCCTGTGTACATCATCACGGAGCTCATGGCCAAGGGGAGCCTGCTGGAGCTGCTGCGCGGTGAGCGGGCGGCAATGGCACGCGGGCTCCTTTCGTGGGATACGGGTGACCCATGCTCACTGGAGGGGACGAGGGAGACACACAAAGAAAGAGAAAACCGTCGCCCCACGCCATGCACAACACGGCCAGGAATCTCTTGATGCCTTTGTCAGGCCTTTCCTGTTTAAGGAGTGTTCCTTGTGATAAATGTACCATCTGTTCATTACAGGAATCTGAGAAAACACAGATAAGCACAAATAAGACAAGGAAAGCCACTCGTGATTCCTATACCCACAATTAACTGAGGCCATTTTATTACAGCGCCTGGCGGGGCCCGCCCAGCCCACTGGCTTCCTAACACACGGCCGTGGCTGTCTCTGCTTTTCTCTTTTCCTATAAGGGCCATCCCTCCTTCTGGTACCTGAAATCACACACGCACTTGCACATTACACGTGTGCAGTCACACATGTACACACAGACTTACACACATGCACACACCCATGCATACACCTGTGCAGTCACACGTGTGCACACACGTGTCTTCCTGACTCAAAGGCACCATCTGTAAGAAGCCCCATGAGTTCCTTTAACACTCAAACCAGACAGTCACTGCCGATAAGGTGAGGGCACAAAGGCAGCCCAGTTTCAGATGTTAAAACAGGAAGAGACGTGCTTTGGAGAAGTGACATCCAGTATGTGATGTGTGGACCTGGGGATGTGCTTTCGTATCAACATTTGAAAAACTCTCAATGTAAAATTGTACACAGGAGTTTGGTCGCTGCGAGCACACGCCTACATAGGTGTGCTGCGTCCAGCTGGCAAGGGGCCTGTGGAATCTTTTTGAGTCCTTATGCTTTTGAATTCTCATCGCTTCAGTGTAGGTCCCCAGAGGGAAGTGTCCAGGGTGCGTATGAACCGCCTGTGGGCTGGCACAGAGCTGCCTTCCAGGAGGGCATTGGCGGGTTCACTGTCCACATTTTAAATCAGGCCACGCGCCCTTTGCCCCGCCCTCCCAAGCCCAGGAGCCAGTAGAGCGTGTGGCACAGAGGCTGCGCTGACCCTGGCCTCCGCTTCCTGCCTGTGCAGACTCTGATGAGCAAGTCCTGCCTGTGTCGGAGCTGCTGGACATCGCGTCGCAGGTGGCCGAGGGCATGTGCTACCTGGAGTCACAGAACTACATCCACCGGGACCTGGCTGCCAGGAACATCCTTGTCGGGGAGAACAACATCTGCAAAGTGGGGGACTTTGGGCTAGCTAGGCTCATCAAGGTAGGGCCCTTGGAGGGCGGGGCAGGGCTTCCCTTGGGGTCCCCCCCAGCAAGGACAGGAAGCTGAGGGCTGAGGCTCTGGTTGGCTTGGAGCCAGAGCCTTGCCCTTCGGAGGGGTTGGGGTCAGGAGGCTGCTGGCCGGCCTTTCAGAGCTGGAGGGGCAGGTCCAGGCACCACAGGAGGAAAGGGAAGCCACACAGATGTCCAGAGGCTGGGGAGGAGCCAGTCTCTGCTGAGTGGGTGGGCCCAGTGCCCAGGGTCCCTGGCCGTGGGGAGGGGCAGGGACCCATCCTTCATTTGCTTATTTGGTGTCACTGCCCCAGCTCCTTGTGGTTCAACCAGGGGGCAGGCCAGGAGTGGTTTGTGAGCTCAGGGCAAACATCTCAATGCCTTCCTGCCAAATTTTTATTACAAGCATGTCCCAGACAAATGCGGACAGAATTGTGCAATTAGCCTTCTGGTCCCGTGGCCAAACAGCCCCACCCACGGCCCCCTCCCCCGTCTTCCTGGCATGTACACACCTCATGTCCATGAGGACTCCAAATCGGCGCACAGGCACAATAGCACAGCACACCTTTAAAACCTAATGGCCTCCTCAAAGTCACCACGTGTCCCCTCAGAGCTCACTTTCCAAATCCTTGCAAAGACCATGGATTGCCTGCTCCTTGAGCAGACCCATGTGTCACAGTTGCTGGAATGCCTAAGTCTCCCCGAAACTCACTTTTTGAGAAACTCCATCTCTCCTGCGAAGCCCACAGTCTGCGTCTCCCTTTGCCACCTCTGGGGTGAGGTCTGTTGGTAGGTAGGCGGGTCTGCCTTTCTTCCTGACGTTAAGTGCTGGTGGCCAGCGTCCGGGTCCCCTCACCCCTGGGTGACACTCATGCTGTGGTTCTTGCCTCATTGTAAGCTGGAGGCTTCTAGGAAGTCATTGCCCTCTTCCACTCAGTGGCCTGCAGTGACAGGTCAGGTGGGAAGGCAGGCTGAGCACGATTCTTCCACCTTTTTTGTTTGTCCAGTGGTGGTCAGGCCTTTTTGGCATCTCCCGTGAACTCATGAATTTGAACATGTCTGTGGGCTCCACCATGGCATCACTGTCCTACTCAGGCCCACGCTGACCCACGTCTGGGCCCGCTGTGACCATACTTCCCAGCTCTGCCCATCCTCCTTTGCACCCACATGGCCCAGCGCCCGACCATCCCAGGTGGACAGCATCTCCCACGTGGGAGCCTGTTCATGAGTGCCCACTGGCTCCCCCTGCTGGGAGCAGGCAGCCCCCACAGCGCCTGTCTGATTGCAGGAGGACGTCTACCTCTCCCACGCCCGCAACATCCCCTACAAGTGGACAGCTCCTGAGGCACTCTCCCGAGGACACTACTCCATCAAATCTGACGTCTGGTCCTTTGGGATTCTCCTCCATGAGATTTTCAGCAGGGGTCAGATGCCCTATGCAGGTACTGGACCCGTGTCCCCAGCTGTGGGCAGGGTGGGAGGGGGCTGTCACCTGGGCACCATTCTGAGTGTGTGTGTGGGATGCAGAAGGGAGGGCCTGGCCGGAAGCTTCCTGTGAAAGGCAGCGTGATGGGAGGGCACTTCCTGGGGCGGGGCAGGCCGGTGGGCACTGGCCTCCCAGCTTTGCCCTGCCTCTGCAGGCATGTCCAACCACGAGGCCTTCCTGAGGGTGGACTCAGGCTACCGCATGCCCTGCCCCCCGGAGTGCCCGCCTACCGCATACAAGCTCACGCTGTCGTGCTGGCATAGGGACCCTGAGCAGAGGCCCTGCTTTAAGGTTCTGCGGGAGAAGCTTTCCACCTTCACCAGGTACGAGAACCCGCTCTAGCCGGGCCCGCCCTGCTGCTGCACTGGAGTTGGCAACAAGGCGCGGCAGCTCCCAAGCCAGGCGGGACACAGCTCCTCCGCTCCTCCAGCCAGGGCCGCTGTCCTGGGGCAGGGGACATGCCCTCTGTGCTACGGGGGCTGGGGACGCCCCTCCAAAATACCAGCTCCTGGGAAGTGCTCGTCTTCCCAGCAGACTCCAACTCTGGAACCTCCCAGGAACAGGGCCGCCCCTTTCCAAAGGGAGTGGACCCACCCCTGGTGCTGACTAATGCTCACCAGCTCAGCTGGGACCCAGGATGGGCCTCCTGGGCCGTGCATAATGGGGACTGGGCTTTGGCTGCACCCTCCCTGCCATTTGGGCCACTTGCCCTCCAGACTTGGGGCTGGGCATGGACTCCCCAGTATGCTGCAGATGGGCAGTTTGGTGGTGGGTCACTGCTGCCTGCTACCCTGGGGCCAAGGCAGCTGTCCATCTTCCTGCCTCAGCAATCAGCCGCTGTCATCAGAGGATCTGGGGGCCTTGTCTGGACACTGTGGCCAAAGACTGGATGGGACTCAGGCTATCCTTAGAGGCAACACCCCTCCACAAACCCCAGGTCCATTTGAGGAGGTGGGATCAAGGACCCCCTACCACCCAGCCTCAGCACTGACCACCAGCTTTGGGACTGCAGGGGGAGCCCGAGTGAGGTTGCCCCCACCCCGACTGGACACACTGAGGGCAGAGGACAGAGGCTGCCATTCTTGGGGGGGTGGGGGGACACAAGCCTGCACTTGCCTTGGAACGGATTCATGTAGCTTTCTATAGCAGAGTGAGGTTGGGGAGCAGGAGAGGGCTGCTCCCTCAGGCCAGCTGAGCCCCACCCAGTAGCCAGTGAAAGCCACTCCCCTCAAAGACCCCCCACCTCACACTAAGCTGCCCCCTCCTGGAGCCCTCAGCTGGCCAACAGACCTGGATCAGTCTCTCTGTTGGGTCACTGGAGGCAAGTGGACACAAGGTGGCAGGCAGGTGACACAACCACCCTTCCCAGCTCCCAGAGTTGGACTTTGCTCGGAGCTGGGCTGCCTGTGGTGGGAAGGCCCCTCTGGAACACTTCTGCACTCCCTACCCCTCAACCTTAGTTTTGGGTGCCTGAGGCCACAGACCTGATCCCCAAGGATTAGGGTACTCAGCCCAGAGGATATCCTACAGGAGGCTAGAGGAGGTGACACCTTACAGGAAGGTGCCTGGGGACAGCATGGCCCAGTGCTTGCCCTACACCGGATGGGAGGGACAGCCTTTGTCCTGTCCCCCTACTTCCCTCCCTGATGTCGAGGGGGGACTCATCAAGGTCCTTCCAGGGGTCCTGGGTCCCCCAGCTGATGGCTCCCAAACCCACATCCAGGGGCCCAGCCTCCCAGTGGCCTAGAGAACTGACCTTAGTGGCCTGTCCAATTCCTGGGCTGCCTGCTCTCTAGGCGCCCGCCACACTCATTGGAGGAGCTCACTGGGGGGATGTGAGCCAGGCCTCAGAGGCAGCCCCCCAACAAGGAGACTCAGGCAGGCCCAGGGGCAAGGCCAGCTCCCCACGCCCACCAGAAAGTGAGGAGGCTGAGAGGACTTTGCACTTGTCCCACTGGCCTCAGGACACAGCTCACATGCACCCCCTGGCTGCTGGCTGCTAGTTTATTTGCCACTTGGTGCCAGGCACACGGTCACAGGATGTCAGCAGGCTCACGTGTGGCTAAGAGAGTAAAGAGCGAGGCTCTCTCAAGTTCCTTTTTGGTGTTTTGCTGTTTTGATAGAACCTAACTGCTTCTGCTAGCTGCAGCCTGCCTAGCCTGTGGGTGGGGTGGGGTGGGGAGGGGCTCGAGAGCCCAGCGCCTCTGCAAGTCTGGTGGCTGGTGGGGGCCACTCAGGATGGGGGCCCAGCGCTGGCTTTGCTGGGCTGGCCACCAGGCTGCTTCCTTGTGGCTTCCCGAGCCAGGTCACAGGTGATAATGCTGCTGGAGGCCTGGAGAGATTGTGAGCTGGGGGTGGGGGGAAGAGTGTGGTCAGAGGCCGCCCCCCCCGGCCCCCAGGAAGGTGGACTTACTGCTCTGGGGACTCCAACACTGTGGCCATGAATGGGACAGTGGATTTCCCGAAAAAGAAGCTCGCCCACCAGTGGCCCGGGTCAGCCTTGGGGAGACCTGAGATCAAAGTGGGGTCATGGTGCTGCTGCCCACTCCTGGGGTGACCGCCTCCCGATGTTCCCAAGACGGAAGGGAAGGGGACCTGCACTCACCCGGGGGGTGGGGGATGGCTTCCCCAGGGTACTCGGCACTTCCACTGGAGCTGTTGCTGGAAGTGGAACCCAGGCGGCCTGGAGAGGAGAGCCGGGTCAGCACACGCCCCACCCAGACAGGCGTTCTCGAGGGGCTGGAGCTGCACAGGCTGGGTGGGCAGGGGCTCACTTACGCCGGTAGTAGTCGTGGGTGGCCACGAGCGAGCCGCTGGAGGGGATGGCTGCCATGCTCTTGCTTGCGGCTGGTGGAAACCTGCGCACACGGGGGTCGGGAAGCCCCTTTGGTAACCGGCTGTCCTTTGGGAAGGGAGCTCCCGGGAGGGCCGGCGAGGCTGGGTTTATTGACCGAGCCGAAGCGTGGCTCCGGCGCCCCGGGCGCGGGCGGCTCCAACCAGCCCGAACCGGCCGCGCAGGCGGAACAAAGGCGCTTTGTGCGCGGGGCCGCCACCTGGGGCTCCGGGAACGGGCCAGGCGCCCGCCCGGGCCTGCAGCCAGCGAGCCCCGAGGCTTCGAGCCCGCCCCGCGCCCCCGGTGCCCGTTCCCTCTGCCCACCGCGGTCCTCGGTCCCACCCGTCACCCCCTGCCCTCGGCCCCACGCGCCCCGGGCGCCCCGCCCGGCCTCTCCCCCCGTCCTCGCATTCTCTGTCCACCGGTCAGTCCGTCCCACCAGCCGTGGCGCACCGGGCCGCCCCCGCCGCCCATGTGGGCCGCTCCACCACACCCACGTGCCGCCCGGGCCCTCACCTCGGCGGCGACCCCTCGCGGGCCTCGGCGCAAGATCACGGGAGCGGGGAACGGGGGCGCTAGGCCACGGAGCCCATTTGCAAAGGAGACCGCGCGAGGCCGCTCCACGACCCAGCTGCGCGGGACGCGCACGCGCGGACACGCCCGCTTATATCGCGGCGCCGCGCACGCGTCACAGGGGGCGGGGCGCGCCGGCCCCTCCCTCCAGGCCCTGCGGGGCCCCGCTGCACGGGCTCGGCCGGTCGGGCCAGCGGCTTCCCGGGTGCCTGTCCAGGCCCGCAGCGTCTGCCGGAGAAGGGCGTCCGGACCTGGCCCGAGAATGAAGCGGTTGACTGACCCCCGGCCCCGGCCTGGAGCAGGGCCTGTCCCCCCTTCCTGGGCCCTGGCCATTTTCTCGGACATAGGACTGGCCTTTCTTGACCAGTCCAGCCCCGTGGAGTGGAAGCGGCAGGGGCACTGGACTTGCGATCCGGTTCTGTTGTCCGCAGCCCTGGGCTGAGCCCCGCAGGCTCAGGCTCCACAGCGCCCCTGTCCTCTGGCCTCCACTCAGGACACTCACTGTCACCCAGGACATATGGGGGCACCTGCTCGTTGGCCCCCAGCCCTTTAGCCAGACATGGGTCCCCGGCGGCAAACCCGTCCTCCCAGCTGTGGCCGCTGGGCGGTACCCAGAAGATGTCATGTGCCACGAGCCCTCCAGCCCGGTGTCTGCACAACTCCGCCCTGGCTGTCCCTGGATATGGCCCTTTATCTGTCTGGGTGGGGGTGGAGGCTGCCGATCCGACTGACCCGGCTTGGGCAGCAGTGTGGCCTGGGGGACCCCGGGAAGAGATGCAGCTACCTGTCCCCAATAATTCTAATCCTCCTCAACCTCCTCCATCTCTTCCTGGGGTCCCCACAGATGGCTCCTGCTGGTCCACTGGGAGGAGGACAGTTCCAGGGGCTGGATCTTCCAGGGGCTTCCCAGGCATCCGTGCCTCAGGCAGGGGAGTCACGTGCACGCATGAGTGAGACACCACGACCACGCAGGAGAGGTCCATGGCAGCCCCAAATCCCGCTTCACAGCTGAGCAGCTTCTCCTCTCATCCTGGGCTGAGACCCACAGTCACATCCTGGCCGGCTTCTGCCCACTCCAGGGAGCTAATTCTGGATCATAAACTAGGTGTGACTTTAGTGCAAATCAAATTTCATTGTTAAGGACATCCCCCACCTCCCCACCCACTCACCAGGCCCTGCGCCCCCTAGTGGATCAGAGGCGCCACAGCCACATCACTGAGGGCCGTGCCGGGTAGGCCCGCAGCTCTGCTCAGGGCTGTGAGCAGCCGCCCGCTTTGTGGAAGCAGCGCCTCCCCGCCGGCCTCTGCTCTGGTGCCAGTGCCTGACCACGTGCTGTCCTGGGGTGGGTGGCGCCCGCTCCACTTGCAGGGTTCCTACGCACCTTCTCCCCTCGCCCCCTGAGACACTGAGACACACGACAGGTACTGGTGCATCTCGCTAAGTCCCTGAGCGAGGGGCAGCCCCCGATGGCCTTGGTATGTGATGGGATTTGGTGTGTTGTGCTTCACAAAGGTGCGGGGTGAGGTGGGAAACTGAGGCCAGCAGCACCTGCCTTCATGGGTAAGGACAGAGAGCCAGGCAGGGGCCCTGGGGAGGGGTCTCTGAGCAAGACGTGTGTGGGTGGGGGTCTCTGGCCCCCAATCGACCCTTGTAGCCCTGAAGGAGCCCTGGTCCACTGGGATGTGGGTGTGAGGAGGCTGAGGCCAGGTCCTGCTTCCTGGCAGGCAGCGGAGGGTGAGATGTCCCAGCGACTGCCTGGGAGTGGGCGCTCGTGTGGCAGGCCCAGCAGTCACTCTGTGGGCACCTTCTAGCCAGGGCAGTCCTGCCCCTGAGGCCTCTGCAGTGCCTCCTTCCTTGAGGCTGACTGACAGTGCCAGGCCCCTGGGATGGCCCTGATGCAGCTCCATCCAGCGTGTTTCCCGTGGGACCCAGGCCCGTGCCTCCCTGGGCTCCCTGGGCCCGGCTCAGGCCTGGGAAGCTCAGCGTGGGGGGTTGGGGAGGAGAGAAGAGGGGACGGGCAGTTGGGGTCCTGACAGCAGTCCTCTGGATCAAGAACCCACAGAGCCCCTACATCCAGGCAGAGCTGCCAGCCCCTCCCAACCCCCACTGGATAGATGGAAGCTTCAGACCCTCACGGGAGAGGCCAGGAGGAATTGTCAGCTGGGTCCTCTGTCGCTTGGAGCTGTGGCTCCTGGGGGCTGTTTTCCTCCTTCCACCTTCAAGAGCCCGTCAGGAGTCATAACGCATTCAGTGCTATTGTGCTTGATTAGATTAGGTTAGGTTCCCTTCACACTGACCTGTCTGGGCCCTTTCTCAGCCTGTTTAGGCTGCTCGAAACCCCACCCTCACTGGGTGCAGACCTACGCAGGGCATGGTCACTGGCCAGGGCCCGTCCTCCAGGGCTGAGGGCAAGGCCTGTCATGCCCTGGGGTCACTTGTGGCAGGCTGGGTGTGGGAGCCTGGGCAGGCCGGACACTTGGCCATGACACTGTGGCCTCCTCCTGTCTGGACTCCCTCTCGTAGGAGTGTCACAGGCCATGGTCTCAGGAACAGACACTGAGATGGAGGCTGGGGTGACCAGCACCTGGAAGAGAGCTGAGAGGACTCAGGACTGGCAGAGGCGGGGGTCAGCTCATGGTAGGACCAGTGGGAGCCTGGTATGGAGAGGGACGGTTAGGGGTGACCTGCACCAGGCCCAGCTGGCAGAGCCCTTTATCTCTGCCTCACGGGGACTTGGTGGGACCCCGGGGAAGGGAGTGCTTGGGCGAGGTGCTCTGCGGCCGAGGCTGACCCGAAGGAGCTGGCAGCGGGGGCTGTCTGCTAACCACCCCCAGCTGGCATCAGGGCCATCTTTGAAGGAGCACTGAGGGTGCACCTCCCATCTGCCCAGGCCATCCGCCAGCACCCACTGGGCCAGCCTGACCCACCCTATCTCCATGTCACCAACAACGTCAATAACAAAATCGGAAAGGACGGTTTTTTCTTTAAAGTAAAAATATAAACGCTGCCTTTACCAGTTCAGGAAGGTGGAGGCTCTGCCATTTGCTCCCCAGAGGAAGCATCAGAGCCCTGAAGGGGGACGTGGGGCGCCCTGGTTAGAGGGAGGAAGGAGTAAGGGCTTCAGTCTCCATGTGCTCCGTGCCCAGCCTGTGTGTGGGCCGCACGGTGTGGCCCCACGATGGGCTGTGTACCCTTGTGAGACATTGAGTGGAGGGGTCAGGGTGGTTGTCCTGCGGCCTGGCCCCCAGGTGTGGCTCCAACATTTGGGGCCCCAGAGCCAGGAGGCCTGGGGTGGACTTGGCCCCCGCCTACTGCTGGCTGCAGAACTTCACCATGCCAGCTGCTCCATCTCTATAGAGGGTGATGACAACAGTGTCTGGGCCTGAGCTCAGGAGAGATCAGTGTTTCCCTTCCACTGGCTCCAAGGGGGTGGTGGCCTGCATGCTTGGAGGGTGGTAGGGGGCTCAAGTGGACAGAGCGAGGCTCCGGGTCAGGAAGCAGTGCCTGAGCCTCCAGCCACCGGGAAAATGGTGACAGGACCATTCAGTGGGCTGGAGAAGTACGTGCTGGACTGCTCACGCCCAGGTGGCTGCCTGGATGTAGTCGGCCGCGGGACATGCCTGCTGGCAGGCGACCACGTAGCTGCACCAAGATGGCTGATGGCCACAGGCTCCCGCATGGTGGGAGGGGAAGGCTGGGCCCTGGAGTCTCTGGGACAGGGGTGCAAGTCCCAATTGTGCAGCGTCTGTGTGACCTTGGCAGGTCTCCTGCCATTCCCGAGCCTCTGCTGCCTCCCATGAAGAACGGGAGTGATAACGGTACCTTGCTAACAGGTGTTCTGTGAAGACGAGATGGGAGAAGCGAGGTGCCAGCTCCTGCGAGAGGCGCTCACAGCAGTCGCTCATAGCTGGGAGCTGCTGTGTGATGGTTCCCTGCAGGTATTTGGGGGTGACAGGAGCTCTGCCAGAGCCCAAGGACAGGGCCAGACCTTCAGGGCTCCTCCGCTTGCTCCTGGAGAATGGGGTTCCCGACCAGGCACACGGCAGCCCTGCCTCTTACCCTCAGGGTCGGAAGACCCCTTCTCCAAGGGCAGCCACCGCCGGGCTCTTGAGCAGGAGCTGGTGCCTCTGTAGGTGATGGCACCATTTGCAGAGAAAATGACACGACTGAGTAATAGTTAGTGGCTGCCGACTATGCGGGAGGCGCTTGAAGTGATCAGAGGATGTCCTGGGAGAGCAGTAGGCAAAACCGCTGTTCCCTTGTGTGTAAAGTGCAGAGTGCCAGACTCACAGGGCTATTTTGAGGTTAAGATGCTTCATGTAAATGCTTAGACCAGTACCTAGCACTTAGTAGGTGCTCAGTGAAAGTTAGATATGGTCATGATTGATAGCACTTTTCAGTACTAGACATAACCTCATTTGGTTAACAAAATCTATGGGAACAGAGGTTGCATCTGTTCTTTCCCCAATGGCTAAGAAAGAATCAGCCACACAGTAGGCATTCAATAAATGCATGTGATGAAATGGTGAACTACATAATAAAAGATATTACAGATTTCGAGTATGAAAGACTGAGGAGGTCAACAAACTCACTCCCTAAAATATAAGTCTAAACCTGGAAAAAACTGTCAGAGACAACCATTTTGGAATTCAACCCAAGGTACCCAACAAAACAAAAAGTGATTACTCATTAAAAATACTAAATTTCAGGATAAAGTGCAAAGCTTCTTGGCATCGAAACACCAGGACAATTTTAATTGGTGTGGGACCGAAGACAGCCAACACTGATGCTGAGATGCAGAGAGGCTGGCACACTCTGAGGCTTTCAAGCATGAATGGGATTAGCAAGATACAAGGTCACCACACACACAAAAAATCCTATTTCCACATATTAGCAATTTACAAATAGAAGCAGGAGTTTAGAAAAATACCATTTATTGGGTTGTCAGAAAAGTCATGATGTATTTTGTCTATGTTTTTCAAAGGTCATTTATTTATATAAAGAGCAAAGATCAATGATATATTGCCCATTTTGTTCGATAACCTTTTGACATCTTTCAGTGAGCGTC